TGAATCTTCGAATATGTATATATATATATATATATTTCTTAGTGCATAACTTGCCTCCACTGATAGTAATGCTATTGGAGGACCCACTTGCCACCATCTTCATCATCACTCACCCCGCTCTTCAATTAATGCTACCCTCAGCTATCAGACAACATAAATTGCCCTGTCTCTCAATGGCTTAAAGCCAACATTCTCCTACTACTGGTAATGGAGTGACTTGTGCATGGTGGACAATCATACCTTTCTATATTTTACACTTTGGAACAAAATTAATTCATCTTCCATGGCTTTCTGTTCTGGCCAAAACATGGAAATAAAGCATTACCAAGATAACAAAATATTGGTTTTAGTTGAACATTCTAAAATATTTTTTATTCATTATGTGACAGAATTCCACCACAGAACCCCACCCAATAGTGAATGAAAGTGAGTGATTACATATACTTTTTTCTGAGGGTTCATTTCAATATAAAACTGTGAAACTAACCAGTCCCGTAACTTCTGTTAATTATGAGTTTTAACTATATCATGAATCAATAAATTTGAGTTCAAATTTTAAATATGTAAAGTTGTGTTAAATATTCAAATGGAGAGTTTTTATGATTTATAATGATTTAATTTAAACAAAACTGTCTATGTATCGTTATCTTGACTTCTCAAAACAAAAAAGAAAAGTTTTAAGTCCTAACTTTGGTAAGGAAGTTTCCTCTATGATAAACCTTTTGTGATTAAAGGAAAGTGAGAAAGACTAGTTGTTGGAAATTCATTCGACTTTGTTAATTTGAATGATTAAGGGAAAAAGTTTATATTGGAAGCCTTAGTTTGGATTCATGTCCGCAACATGTGGTATCCAATGGGGGTAACATAAAAAATCATGACCTTTGACTGTTAATTTGCCTCTTTCTTTTCCCTACGCGTAGCCATAGATAATCGCCTTCACCACACATCACATGCATATATACACGACACGCTTCAAACTCAAAAAGATACCAAGTAAAAAAGAAAGAGAGAAACACGAGAATTAGTGGAAAAATAACTTGACATCACTGTCAAATTGCTCATACCCCATGCATGCACAGCAAGATAAGACGTGCTGATATAGACTTCCCCATATAATTTATTAACTAATTGTTCATTTCTTTCCATTACTTCGTAGTGGAACACAACTGTTATCATTTTTGTTCCTTTGTAACTACGTTGAGAGTTATCAAAGCCAAAACTCCAATCAACTTATGTATTGTCGTAACCGGGATCACGACGGGATGACGCTAAC